GTTCTCATTCGAAAAATCAAAGTTGATATCACCACAGTATACTCCTTAAATGTTTTGAAAAATCTAAGCACTAAAAAATATCGACTTTGATTACACTTAAAAATTCCAAAAATCAGAATTTGAATATATGTACAAAATTTATTTAGAATTTAAGAATTTATTAACACGATTTCCAGTGGTATTTCAATCCGGTGATCTTAGGATAAGATATTATACAATATAAGAAATAAGGCTCAGAACTTATTGCACTTAAAATTCACAAAAAAGTTCTGAAACAAAAAAAAATACTTAAAAAAAAAACATTATTAGACCAAATTTTAGGGTTTAAAAAGGGTCTAATGACTCTAAATTATTAAATATGGTTTTATAACACAACACGAATTATTAACTATGTTATTTTGTTTAAATACAATTGTACGTGTTATAAAAAAAATAATTGGGTTAATAATTGGTATAATGTTGGACAATTGTATTTAATAAGTTAAAGCCGTTAGAAGAGGATCAACTAAATCCTATTATCTTTACTTTCTTAAATTTTTTTCAAGTGCTTTTTTCAGAGTATTTTTAACGTTTTTAAGCGGTTATTTGTGGATTTTAAGGGCAATAAGTTCCGAGCCCTAATAAGAATATATACATAATAATTAAAATACACAATGTGATGCGTATAACTAAACTACCGAGTTGTATGAAACTGTATAAAGTACAACTTTTTTCTAATAATTCGTGAAAATCATCGTCGTATAAGTCACGTGTATAACGCTCATTTTGGAAATCTTTTGGACCATAGAAATTTACCTCTATTCAAATAATATATAAAATACCATTTTTGTTATAGTTATTATAGTTAGTTTCTTTTGTTTCATTATATATGCTATGTTAGGTATAGATTCGAATCAATTCATCATCCTATATACACCAGTATATGGTCGCAGGATGAAAAGCATTTGTCTGCCAGCTTGTATATAGTTATTATTATACTATTTCCATTTTATTACGTTTTTTGCCATATATAGCCACCATAAAACCAAACGAAAAAGTCGCTTCGAATTACTATACTTACACAGAATATATATAAAATTGTTCCACAATTTTATGTTATTCCGATAAGCAGACGATGGCGATTGGACATAATAGTGTATACGGCTATAATACGTAAAGCCAAAGTATCAAAATAAATAAAAATACAAATTTACTGGGGTAAAGGCGGAGAGTTCCGCCAATACGTATGTAGTAAAAATGTAACGTGCGTGCCGTCGTTCAATTAAGTCAATAATTTACGTGTCTATGTATTAGGTATTATACGACGGCGTTGCACCGTGTAGAAAAAATAATAATGCATTTTACCGGTATAAGGTATAACTATTATGTTGATGATTTTCTGAAAGGGGGTAAAAAAGTTAGAAAAGAGCTATAAAAAAAAAATAATAATAATAATAAAAGCAATATCGCTCGCTATAGAATGCTCATTGATTTGTAACACTTTAAAATATTACGTTATACTATAAGTCAACATTTATACAATTCAATTTAGAAAATATCCATTGTCCAGTAATTTGATTGAATATTGTAAGCAAAGTAAAAAATATAAATAATATATGATTATTTTATATAAATACTGACTATAATATAGTTGGAGATCTTCTGTAATATTGTACAAGTAGTGGTCAATTAAATCTACAGCTTATCAGTCTTAAATGGACTACGATTTCATATACTTGGATGGTGCAAATAGACAAAATAGATCTATTGGACCTACATTTTAGTAAGAAGTTATTTTTTTTTCACACTATTAATAAAAAGTATACATTTTTAACAATCTGTAACCAAATAATTGGTGATAATTTATTAATTGAATTATTCATTTGTTTGAAATATCACCATCCATTTGTGAAAATATGAAATGCATTAAACTAGAGTACGGATTATGAAGGCATTGGCTTTTTTTTTCTATTGCTCTAAAATGAAGCTGTCAGCTACAAATTCGATTTATACAATTTAGAATAAAATGCACGACATTTTATTTTGATTTTTTTTCGTTTTTTGTATATTAATGTTTTTTGGGTATTTTGGTACTTTTTTTGCTTTTAAGTTACATTTTCTCAAAATGTGTTCTAAATAAACGTATTTGAAATGTTAATATTTATTTTTATATTATATAATGTGTTCCAAGGTCATGGCTGGCTGAATCGATATTATCTCGTTATGTTTAATTTGTGGAAGTATTTATCAATATAATTTAGATAATGTGATTCACTTACCGTATGGTATATAGTAGATTAATTTATCTTGAAACGACAATAAACACAAAAATATGCACTCACTTTGAAAATTATCTACTCAGAAGCAGGCTTGTGAATACATTTATTATAATACTTTTTTTTTTTTTTAAATAATTTAATGGAACTAAAAAATAATTTTTTTTTTTAAAAAACCCATTTCGCAAACGAAAACATTACATGGTGCTAAAAAATAAAAATAAAGAGCTGATACTGCTGATAGGTGAGCCACCATTGTAAGTGAAAAGTTCGAAAAGTTGGAAATGTATGTAGCATGAAAATATTAATTTGTTTCTGTAACGATAAACCATTGCTAACTAAAAACGATTTTAATTAAAGTTTAAAATTTAATATAATGAAATCACAAGTCATAAATTTGTTCATTTTCATTTTGGATATTTTTCCGGACTTCAATCATTATGAAAACTTCTTAAAAATCAAAATATGACTTACTTTCACAGCAACTAGGTCTAAAATGCAATAAAAGTGGTCTCTTGTAATTTTCCGATTAGATCAATTTTTTGGAGCAAAATGTTCTGTTCAAAAAGTTATTTACAGACAGAAATAAATAACCTAACCAGTTCCGAATCTAAAAATACCGGGTTATACAATTTAATTCTAACATATATAGCAGAACATTTTATTCAACCTGTCATGTACTGATTATTATTATTTGTTTATTGTATGGCTTTTTAAAATTATTATTATAAAAACATAACGTCAGTAAACAATAATTAAAAAAAAAAAAGCTGATACTGCTGATGGGTATGCTGCTGTTGTAGGTGGGAATTTGGGGCGGTAAGATACATTAGGTTATTTAATTTATTTCTGTAAGCAGCAATAAAGCCTTGCTAATGAAAAATGATTCTGAATGACGTTGGTTTTCACATGATTTGAATAGTCGTAATATTTATGATTTTCATTATAATTGATCAAGAAAACATTATGGAAAAAAAATTACTACATTATACTATTTTTTTTACCACTAAGTTTAACTTATAATAAACCTCCTATTAAATGTTTAAACATTTCTGTTTGGTCAAACAATTATATTAACATAGTACCTGCTAAAGAAAAACTACGTATAAAAACTCTCAACATAAAATGTTTATAAATAGCTCAAAAATGGTTAAAATGTTTTTAAAATTTTTATTGTGTCTAAAAAAAATAACATTAGGAAAATATAAGTTTTCTGTCAACATTCCAAATCCCTTTGAACATATAATTGAATTACAACAAAATATCAAAATTGAACATAATGAATTCATTTTTTCTGTTGACTTTCCCGTTCTTTATACGTTTTACTCAGTTGTCAGAAAACTACACATAAAATCAAAAAACGAATTTTGAGCTTATCAACTAGATTCAAAATTCAACAAAAAAGGTCTGTGGTCATTTTTTGATTGAAGTAATCTGAAAGCAAACTTTCTGATAGAAAAGTTGCTCACAGACAAAAAAAATAATCATACATCATACATTCAATAGAACCATTCTTGTTCCGTTCGAAATATAAAATGTTAATATAAATATCAGTTTATGTATAATAAGTCTTACATTTAAAAATATAATATTATAGAAAAATAAAATAATCCAAAAAAAAAAAACATAGCTTAAAAATGTTTTTGGTCGAACCCGTTCATGCATGCAAGATTTCTTCATTTATGTGTCAATCAATAGTTAAAAAAAAATTCTCTTTATGGCAATGCAGACGTAAAACTACAAAGGCTTTGAATAAAAAATGTACACGCTTTGAGTTTTATTTGAAAACTGCCACGTGGTTCAGAAAAAGTCTGAATTTTATTTAATAATAATATACCTAATAAAATGTATGTAAAAAAAGAAGAATCTATATTTAAGTAAGCTTGGATTTTATTTAATAATAAAAAAAAAAAATCGATTCGCAGCAGTGACTCACAAACATTTGTTCACAGAATTATTAACTCGAGTGATGGATGTTCCACGTTTTCTTCTCTTTATTCCCCTTCAGTTTTATGCGACGGCTGCAGACAATCTCAACCTGCAGCAACAGTATATTATTGTATATGATGTTGAAAATCAAAATCTACCGTAAATACGCTAAAATTAATGGCTGCACTGTAAAATTAATTACTCGTTTTCTCGTTGTGTTTTATGATATTCGAAAGTAGTTCAAAACAAGATGCATTATAATATGTTATTGTATGAAAGATTACTTTTTCATAAATGTTCGCCTTTAATCATTTCGATTCTAAAACTAGTTTCCCGTAAAAAATAAAGCTTATAAATATCTACCAAATTTAACATTATTTTATATAATAAATATAATATTGTTTTGGTATCATTTTATTAGAATACTCTAATGATGGTAAACTACGTAATTTTAACGATCCAATATTTTTCAAATCTGTAATAAGTAAAACTTACTTATACATTTGTGTCTACTTTTGAAGGGCTGTATTTTGTTAGAACCGTGTTTTTCCATAACCTAATTTTGTTGGAAGTATAATATTGTCGAAAATAATTTTTACTCGACAATTACCTGCAGTAATAAGCAGCTACAAAAATTGTATTCTTATGATGTGTAACACTCCTCATTGGTTTCCGAAATGTATTGTAAGGGACTGTCGATATTTATACTTATTTCTATCTAATTAGTCGGAGCAGTTGGTTGGTTATTCCTACTACACTATCCGGTTTTTTGAATCTGGTCGTTGGACTAATTTAAATAGAGGTAGAGACCTTTATTTAGGTTATATTTTACAGGTCAAAGAGACTTAAGACCTGCGTTTGTTATTTGACACAGTTAAACAAAATTCAACAACAATAGAATTTATTCCAAGTACAACTAATAAATACTAGTATAAAATAAGTACCTATATTCGATTTGAGTAACCCAGAACTCTTAAGATGATTATGGTAATATCAGATGAAGCAAAATACGAGTAGTGTGATTTTAGTGATTGAAAATTTAGAAACAATATTAGAATTACATACACGAGGATATTATGAATATTAGACTAATTTATTATACACACATAGGTTCACTCGTATTCCGCGCTCCAGTATTATGCACTTAGCTAAGCAAAACGCATAACGACATATGAAAGGTGCTATAACGAGTCAGTGAAATTGTACGGTACAGATGATAAACATTTTTCAATCAAAAATTATTTATCTACTTTTATTATTTATTTTATTTTTTATTATTTACGAATTATTGCGGACGAAATACTGTTCTGACCAGATATGATTCTAATAATATACGGTTTCGACAAAATATAGTTCCGATAAAATAAAAAAAATTCCAAGAATATACTCGATGAATACAGTTTCGACAAAATATGATTCTGATAAAATATGGTTCCGTAAAAATATTTTTTGACAAAATACTCTCCAACATATTACGTGCCCTCTATGTATTTTCACGTAGTTATCTACTTCTTGCAGTAAAATATTTTTTATTTTCGTACTATAAAAAATTATTCAGAACTTAACCTGATCTACCATAAGTATGAGGACAAGTTTGGTGCATGGGTGCTTAATTTGTAGGGGAGAGAAAAACTGAAACCAAGTTTCCAAACACGCATATATAGACTAATATATATTAGATTATGCTATAGATTTATTATAGGTCAATATGAAGGGGTGAATCAATAATCATTCAGGTTGTATGTCATGCGTCAATGCTCAATAAAAGAAATTTTTTCCTGGTTATAATATTTTCCAGAAACCATATTCCTCTCTTGCCTTCTTCACCAATGGGTGTGCATGGCTGAATGCCTGATTATTAAAATATAGCTGCACAAATTAATATAAAATACTATTTGATTCATACAGTACAGTCATTATAAACTACTATGAAAATATAAGTTACGGTTATATAATTTACATATCAACTTCAAATGTAGTAATAATACTGAACAGTTGATTTGCCGAAAACGTAATGTAATTTTGAAATTTAATGATTATATTATATACCTGAAATCCTACGTATTATGCGAACGCATGACAATTATTCCGTTTGTTCATATTTAAAATGATTTAACATTTAATAATAACCGTTTTATACGCATCTCTTTTATATTTATTAATAATAAATTAATGACATAATATAATTTATTTACCATAAAACGAATTAAAATAATAATTGTTGTTATAAATTAAACGAATCAGTGAGGTCGTACATGATTTATTTAGACATGTTAGTGCAGACTGTTTCATATTGTTATGATAATAGTATCCAGTCGTTAATAATGATAATAATTTTATACATGATAATAAATTGTTTGACCTTTATAATACATATTATACGGTTATTGGGACCGCCGCCGTCCACCGTATGTTTCGCCACTTGTAGCTCAGCAGTAGCCTGTAATTATTTTCGATTCGCCAAAAATTAACATTGCAGATAATACCTATAACTTATGCACGTAATATTCATAATATTATAATAGGATTACAACGGTTTGACGTCACCGGTATAAGTATAGGTAGGTATTATTCCAGATTTATTATACAAACTACCTATTGAAATTCTCTGAAGTATAAAATACATATTTTCCAAAATACCTTAACTGATAATAATCATTATATTAATAATATATAAATGAGTTTTAATAAAAATGTTGAATTTCGTATATTATAATATAGGTACTGAATTACTCAATAATAGAAATGTAGACCAGGGTTACAGTCTTGGGCACTTTTCGTAAGATCATAGTAACATAAGTTATTATACGAATGCCTATAATGAAATTACGTACCTAATTAGATTCATTTTACCAATAAAACATTTTTCTCTTCCATTAATTATGATAATCTATGTATCTTTTTTATTTATTGACATTACTATGAGTAATAATTTTTACACTAGGAACTTGCCACAGACTAACGATTATTTAATCGTCAACTGCTTTATATAAAAATATCGTTTAAAGTATAACCTACTAAAATCGGATGGAAAGGTATAGGAATTATTTTCGGGGCTGATTTTTTATCCATATGATAATACTTAAAAAACATGTCTTATATTGTATACGTAATACCGTACAATACGTTCCGTTTTTTTATTTATGAATAAATACATTATATACTACATGATATACAGAGTGATAACATAAGATACTATCTCGTAATGTATTAACTTTTTAGAAATTTTTTTTTAGAAAATTGAAGAAACATGTAGCTATAAAATATTACATTACTCGTATTCTTGTTTTTTGTCACTCTTATGTTTGGGAAGAAGAGGAGGACTATTAAATTTTGATTTTCAAATGGCAGCCTATATTAAAAGTATATGTTTATAATATGAAGTTTTAGCTTAAATACATTTCGGTGTTAAAATGTTTAATTTTCTTTCTATACTACTTTGACGAGATATTCTACATTTAAGTTTGTCATTTTGTGGATAGGCGGAAATTAGTGGAGCATTGGAAGACCCAACGTAAATGATGCTCTACTAGTTATCTTTACCCATAAATTAAATGTAGAATATCGAAAGTACGGAAATTAAAAATTTCAATATCAAAATATATATCTAAAATTATATAAGTGGCTATTTAAAAATCGAAATGTTATTGCATCCTTAAACCTAAGAATGATAAAAAAATTAAGGTAATATTACATTTTTAAGACTGGCCGTTTCTTAAATTTTCTAAACAAATTTCGAAAAATGTTAATAGGTACCTATTTTCTGAGATGATGAGACGTGTCTTACGTTATGTTGATCACCCTATATAATATAATATAGACATTTCGAACGCAGACTAATTTAAATTTAAATTGAAAGTCACTATACTGCGGCTGTCGTTATATATGTGAGTTTGGTATTGATGTGCTTGAGATTGTCGTTGTCGGTGGCTGAACTGATCCTTTAATGCGATGATCGAAATACCGTTCTGGTACCCGAGTCATAATAATAATAATAATATAATAAACGAAGAATAATATGCTATTCACAGCATCACGAATGCTGTGCAGGTGACAATAATAGATGAACGTACGTTGTAAATTATATTTGCGCATAGAACCGTGCGTAAATCTGGTAATAATAATTCCGCTTTTTTGCAAATTTGTAGGCAATTCGTGATGGGTTTGATAGCCTGCCGTTTATGTAAAATGCAAACAATTATGATTTCGTTAAATTAACTTTTTTTCGCAGTATTTTATAACGGTGATAATTGTACAAGCGGAAACGGGATCTTTAATATAATGCACCATATTTTCACGGATTAAATACAAATTTAAAAGCGAATAAAACAAATATCTAGGTACCCAATTTGAAATCGAATGACTGTTTTTTTTAAAACCTGCAGAAGAAAAAAAAAATAACTTGGTTCATACAAATAATATCTCATACATGAGTGTATATACTAATGTGCATGTGACACAATATTTTATTGTGACGTACATCGTGGTGACGTGGTATACAGGCATATAATATTTTATATATTTGGCGTATCGTAAAATCGATTTGTCCGGATATGTCATCATAATACGCGATACAGTGAATGCAGTGCATTTTTCGTGCTTTATAGTATACATATATTCTTAACTTTTGAAGAATTAAAAAAATATAATACCATTCGAATTTATATACCTATAATCGTTCTCACACTGCTGTAATGGCTTCAATCATATTTCAAGTTGGCTAAAAATAAATAAACAATATTATTATTTTGGATAATGCAATATCTTTTGCAATTTTATATCTCCAATGATTGATTTGCAGCAATTTCTAATCATCTCTGTCGTTGGTCTTATGCGTGAATTAAACTCATATCTTCCATTATCTAAGCCATGTACCTGTTGTAATTATGAAGTTTTTATTTCAGTGATTTCCTTCTACCACTCTTTTCAAGATTATTAAACCTAGCAACCCGCCATGTCTGAGAACATGACCGGTTTATTTATGCAATACATTATAATAATATGATCATAGGTATCTGTTTGTAAATATCTGTTGATGTAATAACAAAAAAAATAACAAAACCGGAATAACCGGAAATAACAAAATCCTAATCAGTTACACCAAATTAGAAACCTAAATTCTCAGCATATTATACAATTGTAGTAACAAGCATACAATTATTGTATGCATTTAATTTATTTTTAAATTCAAATAATTTTGTTTTTATATTTGTTATTATGTTTCGATAGTGTAATGATAATGTATAATAGTTTTCTTATTTTCTTTCTGACAACTTATTTTAATTTAAATACCTTTACATTTTTTTAATCGGTTTCTTCTGTTAATATTATTTTATTTGTCACTTATTTTCAAGTACCAGAGTCAACAAACATTTTCACATTTAATAATTCTAGATTACCGTTTGACAAAAGTCGAGTTTTTCTAAGTTGCCATAACTTTGCGAAATCAATTTTTTCATTTTTTCTTCCGTGGTTTTGGGAAAAGTGTATTCGTCCCGCCGTAGAGAGCCGGGAGAAAATATTATTTATCAAACACAACAACAGTATTTAATTTACAACATTTTCAATGTATAAATCAAAATAAATTCGTAAAACACTGTACATGGCTCATTGTTTTAAAATATGAGTGCATATTTTTCTATAAGCAAGGTAGACTGTAGTGTATCTAGCCGCCATTAATAATAATAATAATAATAATAATTAAATATTCTCAAATTATTTAATAATTAATAATATTGTTTTACGTGATCGTGATCATCGCCAGCATTATTATTATTATGATAAAAGATAATACTATAGGTACGTTTACTCAGAAAATTATGTTTCACGGTCACCGGCCGTAACAGGGGCAGCGCACTACTATCGTGGGCTTATTTATTTTATACAAATTATTTAATAGATTATTACAATATTCCTGTGAAAATTACTCTTATCTGGAACTTCGGGTGGAAGACCCGGATAACGACGGATAACCCGATAATCGATAACGACCGGATAAACCCAGTCAGTGTTTAAATAAATATTTTTGTAAAATAAAATGTTATTTAATATTTTTGGTGTTTAAATTTACTTTGCAAATGTAGTATTCTACGTAGAGCAAAGTATACGATAAAACATTTCATGGATTATTTGTCTTAGTTTACCCGAAATTTATTTTTAATATTTTAAATATTTAATATTTTTTTAGATTTCACCATTTAGCATTACACGAAATATCAAAATAGGTTATGTTATAATAATAATAAATTCAAATTGATCTTAGATACAATTAAAAATAGTTTTCTTATTGTATTTTAATAGTTAGGTATAAGTTAGGAAGCTAGAAAAAAGTTGAAATGTATTAAATCTAATTTTTGTAATTTTTTTTATTTTATGCCTCAATAAAATACGTATACAATGCGATATTAAAGTTTACAAACAGAACAATACGTAACAATAATAATAAGTGTGTGTATAAATTATTATTATTAAGGCGGCGTGAAAATTTATAAGACGTGGTTTTGCACTTAAACGCCGCCGCCATTTCCGACAATAGATTTTTAATAAGTTTGCAGAACGTTCGCATAGTGGTTTTCCGCAAGTGATCATAAACATACATTATTTTCGAATTTTTTCACCTAAAATTCAGTGCTATTTTTCGGTAAAAACCATTTGTGCGAAAATCGTTCGGACAGTTTTGTAAAATATATGAATTGACCACCAAAAATATATACGGTCGTCGTCCCTGTTTGGTCAGTTAACAATGAATTCTTACATATATGTTATTATAGGTACATAAATTAAAATTAATACTCTAACATATGCATCTACTAATTTATTTTTAAAAAAACTGGCAATTAATGTAAAATTGTCGATGTATCTGTACATAGATTAATTACTATCTGTTTAAACAATTTGAAAAAATTGGTGGCCAAATGAATCATGGTAATGACTTTTATGGGAAAAAATCAGTTCTAGTGCATAAACCACTTGAACTCGTAATATAATAAAATATATTATATATTCACCTGACACGAAAAATAAGGAAAATGCTGCTGCCGCCGTTACCTTATATAGGTACCTTATTGTTTTCACGGGTATACGAACATTATTATTATTATTATTATTATATGACTTTTATAGTGTGTTGTATTATATGATATTATTATTGCCGTCGGTATCGTTGGCAGTGGACGATCGATTACACCGGTAAGGCGTTCTATACACAGGGTGATTTTTTTTTTTATCATCATTCAAAGGTGATCAAAGATTTCTTGTAATTTTTTTTTTTTACGATATCCATGAGTTTTATATAGAATACGTATCTTATATAGTAGAAATACATCTTACAAGAATAGAATATGCAAATTTATCATAAAATTAAAAAAAAAATTTCAACTGCGCCAGTAATGATTTTTATAAATACGATGTATATAATTTAATTTATTTAAGTAACATTATTATTATTATTTATTAACACAGAGAATTTATTTCAAATAATTAATGTAAAATTAAAATGGTAAGTATAGTAAGTAGTTATAAACGAACTTTTATTGTTTGTTAGGAACCGTTTGCATCATTTTACTTGATAGAATTTTTATAATAAAATAATAAAGTAAAAATAAAATAAATAAATGAATCAATGCCTCGCCTGGAGTATTATGATAAGTGTATTATACACAGTATATACCTGATGATGAATTTTTAATTCGAAACCAGTCGTATAATACACTTATCATAATACTCCAGGCAACGCATTGATTCATTTATTTATTTTATCTTTATACATACATTTTCTATTTTTATATTTATTTACTTTATAAATTTTTTATGTATGAGTAATGTATTTTTAATTGTCTCTTTCTCAGTTAAACTATTTCTAGTCTTAGAGTACATACGATTTAATACGGAAAAGAGACTCTCGTAAACTTAAGTTGAAGAGAAAATTATTAATAACGAAATCGCAACACGTTTGACAAAATAATAAATAGAATACCGATTATTTAGAAATTAGTGAAAATTTAGTTTTGATAATATGTGTTATCTAAAAATTTAAAAAACAATATATGGACACATATATGGTGCATAGCACTAATACTGTAGGATATTCTATAAAATGGTTTATGGATACCAAATTTATAAGTACCCTTTTTGTGGCTATATATACTCCTCCAATATAAAATTTAAATTGCAGTTATAACACAGTATTATTATAATGCATAGTTAAGCTTTACAGTTAAGTAAAACTAACAGACTCTGTTGAAAAGTTTTTTTAAAAAGTTCCTATTTTTTTAAAATAATTATTTAACTTCAAAATATCAAAATTGTACCAATTGTTAAAAACGATTTTTAAATATGTTTTCTGGGACAATAATAACGGTCAAGTTGGGCTATAAACAGTGTCATAAATTAGCGTAATAATAGGCGCGGTGCTTAAACAGCCAAGTATCCACGGACAAACTAGAAATTGATAATGTGTATGGTTGTAACGATCCCACTCGACTGATTGGCCGTTTGGGTTGCAGCCAGAATAAATAATTGGGATAATGGGAGCGATAAACTATTTTGGCTGTTTATGTAATGCACTTAATGTATCTTTCAGACGGTATATAATAGAGTTGATAGTATTTACTCTATGCGGTATACCGTGCCTTTAAAATTTTGTAATAATCATAGATACTTATACAATACTAAATAGCTGTGAATACTGTTATTACGGTGTCATTTCAATGATGCCGCCGTCATTTACAAAATGGCCATTACTTGTACACAGACTTTATCATTTTTTTTTTTTTTTGACATTATTTGGCTTGTGGATTGTGAATCATTAGTTTTAACTTTTAATGCCTTTGATTACAACTGAATCGAAGCAAAATTAAATTTTCCGAGTTTTATCATCATCAATTAAAACCTCGATTTCAGATGAGTTGAGGATTACGTTACTTGGACAAAAGTCGAATTACGTATAGCATACAAAGAACCAATTAAATACTAAAATTAGAGGTTGTTACTGGAAGTATTGTGATCAACAATTTTAATTTTCTTTTAATATCCATCATTTATACCCAAAACGCTAAAATTCTTAAATGCGTATAGGAAAGAAAATACTATAAATACGCGGGTATACGATCGTAGCCTGTTGGATGATAACTATAACACATAAAATTTGAACATTTCTAATTTTTATTTTAATCTCATTACTCTGAGACAACTGGGGTGTCACCATTATTATATTCTACGTATTCGGTGATAACTATAAAATGATAAGGAATAGGAAAACTTAAAACTTTCTAAATGTCATAAACTCACAATTTTGCATAGCTTATCTATTTATCATCAGAAGTTATTAATAAACTATAAACATTGAACACTATGTAGGACGTAAGTAATATACGAGTATATTTATGTATATATTTTACTAGTAGCTTATTAAACAATCAATATGGTTTAATAAATTAGGTACTGATAGTATACCCTTGTATTACATTTAATTTAGTAAAAGAGATCTTTCAAATCTAAATACATTTATTTAAATAAATATATAATGATAGATAAATCTGAGTTAATTGTTATATGGGGAGGGGTAGGGCCATAAACACGGTTTAGGGTTTCATCATCCCCTCCTTACAACATGGAAAGTATATACATTTATTATTAAGTATATGTTATTTTTTAAATTAACTATAATAATATGTAAGTATTATGATAACCTCCCCATAAAAAATTTCTGTCTATGGTACTATGAGGGGAAAAGCCCACTGCACGTATCATTTATTTCAGAATAAGTGCATACCCAAAACAATATTTACGACTTTACAGTTTAAGCAAATACAGTGCAATCAGTCATTGGAAAATTAAAACTTCAAATAGAGGCATAGGCGTACACATGGAACTCTTCATAGGCTTCAGGTCACGCACCCAAAATAAACTCAAGTCCAATTTTATAACTCAATAGAAAATTATTCTATATATTTTTGAAAAAAAATAAATGTATTACACAACTATGTATCTTAATTACTGCCAATCAATTTGAATTAATTTTGATTCTAAACAAATTGGACTCAAAGTCCCTATTCCATAAAATTGTTTGACATACATTTTATGATAAAAAGGACGAACATACTTCGCACATGGGTGTAGCCACTATTGTAGATGGGAAGTTGAGAAGATAGGATACAGACGGGAATTTAAAGTATATCTGTAAGCAACGATAAACAATTGTTAACGAAAAATCGAATCTGAGTGGAGTTCACTTGATAGTGTTCCTTTGTCAACAATACAATATATGGTATATGTCATATAATGGTAAAATGATTACAACAATGTGCATTTACATGGCAATAATGATTGTTAAAAAAAAGATTAAAATAATAAAAAATTAATAATAACAAAAAATAAATAAAAAACGGTTGCCAATAACAACCTTATTTTTAATCTTTCAATCTTTTTTAACCTAGAGACCGAGATTTTCCTCATTACCTCGAATATTAATGAGAATTTTAAAAAAATGACCTTTTTAAAGTACCACCCGGAGCATTTCCTCGCAGAAAGGTGCTATACTTGATAATCGTAATATGCTTTCTGGTAGAAAAAGTGTAACATAAAAAAAAAAAAGTAATAATAAACATCAATGTAAAACCAATACATCCAACACTCCACTCAAAATCACCCTGTATGTGTACGAACGTGTAATATTACTATAACGTGTTCGGGTAGAATATTCGAATGATATTAGGTATGTTACTATAATATATTAAGTTCGTGTATTGACATTTACATAACGCCCGTTTTTCCGTCGTCTGATTGGTGGTGACGGCGAAGGCGGCGGCGTAAGTACATTTCTCGGCGCGTTTACGATAATATAATATTTACGCCTGTATAATATAATAATGTTATAGTATGGTGTTTCAGGTGGTAAAATTAATGTACGAGTATAGAAACATAATAGAAATAATAAGTTACCTGCTATCTAGCACCTACCCACCCGTCGTCGTTCCATTATATGTACCTATAATAGGTGACCGTAAATCGATAAGTTCCAACGACGAGACCCCTCGCCAGTAGTCGTGGCTCGTGACGGCGTTGCATATTTTATAGGTAATTAATATACGATATTATGTACCGCTTATTGTACACATACCGTACACCTGATGATTCGTTTGAACTTGTCTTTGATATAATAATACGAGGACGTCTTCGCTTTGCATTAATAAAATTGCATTAATCCTAATGTTTGGAAAGATGCATTCCTTGAATTCAACTTAGTATTTTTCGGTTTTATTTGGATAAAATTGTTTTGGCCGGTCAGAAACCCTTGAAAATTTTAGATAGCAATCATTTTAAGTTGTATCTGATATAAAAAAAACAAATATTGTGTTAAGTCGTAATTTTATTACTAAGTACCTATGTAAGTATTTTGATATCAAATTTTGACAAAAATCAAAAAAATTACAGATTTTTTTTCCAATTTATATTAATTTATATTGTTTATAACGTAAAAATACCATATTTTGGATACCTGCTTAGTGCTTATCAAAGGGCGCTCGATAAAATTGTACTTTTTTGGTGATATTGATTTATCGTTCTATTTGATGATAGTTAATGCTATTGTAATTTACATAATTTATGGCGATGAACAAGTTTAACAATGATGACTTGAGTTTTAAGTAAGTACTTGTAGTACGTTGTTTTTAAAAAAAAATTGTCGTTTTTACCTTGAAGGAACAAGTTTATTAGTTTATTTATAGTGTAATTGTCAGACATCTATAATATAGATGATATAGATTCTATATCATGATTCTAATTCTTTTTTGGCTCTTCACCCTATTATTTTTAAGACTAAAAATAAATTGCATAGATTGACATTAGTTAAAATGAGTGATAGTAAGGTGCTACATACGATGATGTTTATTTAATTTAACCAATAAAAATATCTTATAAGGAGAAAAAATTTCAAATTTAAACCACCCGCCTGGAAATATATTCCTGTCTACGTCTCTGCTGATGTTCTGGTGCCAGAAAAATGTATTAATCAGCAAAAAAAAAAAATTACTATCAAAAGCTAAACCTGTCAAGTCATTCATATGCTTATTGTAAAAATATTTAATTACAGAACATTAAAAATGTTCATTGGTACCCTTGTGGTAATAGCGCTCGATGCGTTGACACCTCTCATACACCCCTAGGCACGGTTCTAATACTATTTAAATTCAGCTTTCAGGTAAATTCAGGTGTATTTGTTCAGTAGGTCTTGTATATTCGAGTTTTGGATTATGTAATTTATTTAGGTTAGGTTTTGGGTTTTGGTTTAGGTTCAGGTGTACAGCCCTGATAAAAAAAAATTATCTTGTCGCTTTTCTCTTGAAACATTATTTATTGTACAAAAAATATGTCGTACAAATTTTAAATAATGAAATTGTGCCATAATTTGAAAAAAAAATATCGTATTTTTGTGTATTTTGGTTTTTCCGAATTATTATGAAATCCAAAAATTACTTTCTCTGTCAATATTTTAAAAGAAACAAAATCGATCACTTGTAATTTTTAGATTGGAATAATATTTCTGGTAGAAAATATAAGTTGAAAAATAAAAACAATTAAATCGGTAACGCCGAAGCACGTTGTAAATATTTGCCGTTTTGCATATAATTTTCTTTTGAGTTTTTTCTAATTATTTCAAAGACAACTTGGAAAATCAAAATATGAGCCCCCAGATTCACCAGTTGGTTAAAATCACCCTTCAGAAAAGGTGCTACATACATCAGAGCAAGATTTTGGTAGAAAATTTATTTTTTATATAAGGAAAAAAAATCATCTTAGTAAAACCAATGTTGCCTCATTTACACAAGTTTTATGTAAACAAATAAAATGTTCAACCAACTAAGAAGGTAGGGACATCTTTTACACCCCCGAATTTACCACTGTTATTATTAACTAGCTAGAATATTTTTTTTGTTTTTTGTAAATATAAAATTGAAAAATTAGTTTTTCAGTAAACAAAATATGCCATATTTTTGTGTTTATATTTTTTCCGGTCTAATGTAAAGTAATATAAAATATAGTATGTATTTTATTATAACTCGGAAGATTTATTTATTGGCCTAATAAACAAAATTTGTTTGTATGAAATAAAGTATATTCTCACTGTTGTCACATTTAAAAAAAAAATATATATATACATATATTTCGTTTCCGGGATAAATTGCTTATTTAAAACAAAATAAAATAAGAAAAGACGTCCTAGGATAAGGGAAACGGGTGCAGCCACTGTTATGGGTAATTTAATGTATACATGTAAGCAACGATAAACCATAATAACGAAAAAATGATTCTGAGCGCAGTTCAGTTGATAGTGATGCTTTGTCAGCAATATATATGTTATATTATGGTCAAATAATTAATTAGGCATTATATATAATTGTTTTAATATTGTATCGATTTTCTCGTGTTTCCTAGTTTTCCCGGATTTCACATTTGCTGGAAAAACTCTTAGAAAAATCGAAAAATTACCTCCTTAAAGTACCTTCCCAGTCAGATTTCCATTCAGAAAAAGTGTTATCATTTTAAATTGGAGCGAAATTGCTGGTAGAAAAGTTGCACACAGAAAAAGAAAGGCCATAATATATTTTTAATAATACCTACATATCGTACATTTTCCATTTATCTGACATTTTTTCTCGATTTTTCCTAGACATTATGAAAATCGCTTGAAAAATCAAAAAATGACCTTCTTAAATTACCATAGAGATAAAATTTTTTTTCAGAAAATAAACTGCATTTGATACGTTGGAGCAAGATTTCTGGTAGAAAAGTTTACACAACAAATCGAGTGGTATTTTGTGATTAATAGAACCCAAGGATGAGATGGCTTGGGTTTCTAGGTACATCCAATATGCATTTGTTTTTTCCTTGTTTAGGTAAAAGTGAAAAAAATTCGAACAATTTTGTTCGACACACTGGTTTAAACTCAGAGTCCCTAGTATGATAATAATCATAAATAACTATAAGATCACGACAAACACACTTTACGAAGGACAATATAGCGTTATTTAACATAACATAAAATATTCGCATAATATTAGAACTTCAAAAAGCTATAAAATTGAAACTTAATCAGTTCGCTTAATTCTAAATTCACCACCGTTTTAAATCGGTAATATACACGTGTTAAAAAAAAAAAAAGTTGTTAAATTAAATTTGTTCCGCGTTATTTTTTACTCAAACGTTTTTCGTCGAAAGTTGATATTAAAATGTCCTTATTAAAAAATGAATATTTTAAACTTTTCTTATTTCTTTTTTTTTTCTACATAGTAAGAAACTAAGACTCTCAATGAACCTTCTATTAAATTTTGAAGCATTTCTGTTAAGTCTAGCAATTTTACCACAGAGTACCTATCGAATAAAAATTACATACAAAACTCTCAAAATAAAAGGTCTAGAAATGCCCTAAAAATAGCTTAAATTTTTTGAAAATTTGTCCACGTTTAGAAAAGGCAAATATGAATACCAGATAATATGAAAACCGCTTGGAAAATCAAAAAAAAAATGACCTCTTAAAGGTACAATCTGAACAAGATTCCCTTTCAGAAATGGTGACGCGTATATATATCTGAGCGAGATTTCTGGTAGAATTTTTGTATACATTAGCAAAATAAAAAAAAAAATAAATATTTTAGTAAAACCAATACATTTTTCGTTAAACTTAGAATTTAAAATGCACACGTTCGTAGAGCTCTCAAATTTATTAAACTAATGCAAAAATAATATGATATTTGTAGTTGTGTAGTAGATGCGTTTTTGATATAAATAAGAAGCACGAATATTAATATAATATTGTATATTATAATATAGTATTTAAATAAATCTAGGCATATATTATCGTTTGTTAATTTTTATATGATTATCTAAAATAATATATGTTTTAACGAACT